GGGAGAGAGCATTTTGGGAGCTGGTTGGCAAGGAACTGCAGCTACACCTTTGCTCCTCACCTAAAGTGCCAGGTCACCTGTCCGCCGAGAGCATCTTCCACCTCCGCTTCAGCCTCCTCTGGCCCTGCCCTCATTCACAGGAGCCTACCGGGTGTCTGCTTCCTGGACGTGGCATCCACCTTCTGGGGTCTAGGGGTAGTGTACGAGGCACCCAGCACACTCGACACGGTCTCCATCCTCCTGTGACCCAGAGTCACTCTTCTGAGCCTGCAGGATGTCTTCTTGATCCCTAGGCCTCCCCGGAGCTTCGGGCTTTCCTTCATGGAACTTCCCTGCCCTTGGATCACATGGAGAGTCTATTCCCTGGAGGCTGTCTCACTTCTCATTTAACCTCAAAGCCCTAAGAATGATGATTAAAAGCCTTGGTGGTGTGTAATCTCACACAACTTTAAGGATTCTGTCTGTCTGTCTTCAAATCACAGCTCTCCTTTGATTCTCATAACAGTGCCATAGGGCAGATCTGTTTTCCAGCTTTCAAATAGCCGTGAAATATTCGTACAAAGATTTGTTTTCCAGGTACATTTCTATATATTACCTGATTGCAACTCCCTGATGCCCTCAGCTAGGCAAGGAAAACTTTATTAACCCAGATATGCAAATAAGATTACTGAAGCAGCAGCTGTGGAGTAGGAGATAAGAATATGTGCATTTGAACTCTGACTCAGTGGATTCTTTGCACCTATTTCCTCAGGTGCGAAATGAACACAGCGATATCTGTATCACTTGTCACACTGTATTGTTGTTAGGATTAAGTGACCGTGGTTCCAAATAATGTCAAAAATTAACATTCTAATGATGTCCTGTTCCTTCACCCCTTTATCATTTAAAAACTTTTCTATTTTGAAAATGTTTTACAGAAGAAGGGAGACTACTGTGATGAAATCGATGTGCCCATCCCCTGCTTCAACATTTTCCAATACCAGTCTAGCTGTATTCCTACTCGACCCCCCTTTCTTTTCCTTTATTAACCAAAGTTTAAAATAGTGACATACTTCCCTAACATCTTCCAAAGCAGACTTATGGTTTATTTAGGATTGTTTTTATGTTATTAGGAATTCACAGATTTAGTTTAGTCTGGTGCAGTTTCAGGGGATTCACTCCATGGTAGGCTGACTTAAGGCAGGATCATCATGGCAGAAGGACATGGCAGAGCATAGATGCTTAGTTCATGGCTGCTGGGAAGCAGAGCAGGGCACAGTGCCAGAGAGGGAGGACCAAGGTCCATGTATCGTACCCAAGATCATACCTCTGACCCACCCAGACACATCCAGCAGTATGCTTTTCTAATCCCCCAGGCAGCTCCCAAGCCAATCAGGCTGACACAATTAAGCATAACTCTCCCCCACAGTCTGTTACAGTTATTATCCTTATTGATGTCCCCCTTGACACCAGGGAAACTAGCTGGCTTCTGAGACCTTTGCCATGACTCTAGTAGGCTTTGACACTTCATTTGCTTTCTTGGTATGATGAGATGTTCCAGGCTCCTTTTGTGCAAGGAGCCATTTCTCCAAGGAAGCCTGACTAAGGCTCCTAATCTGATTAGTAATTAGTAGAGGTACTCATTCATACGGAAGCATGATCGCTGAGGGGTCCCCAGACAGACCACTGAACACACCAAGAAGGAGCAAATCAGCTCCATTGCCGGCAGCTTCAAAGGATTCAAATCACCTTGAAAGCATCAAACAGAAGTTTACTCTCATTTTTATTTCTTTATGTTTCTGTGGGAGGAGGGAACAGCAACCATAGTTGCAGGGGAAACAGCCATCAGTAAACATAATTACATAAGCAGAGGGGCAATGAAGTGGGGCGCCAGAGGTTTGGCATGGCTTTCCAAGAGCACCTTGCTCTAGTGAGCCTGAATTACAGTAGTGACATAGTTACAATGTATCTTTCTCAGCAAGCATAATTATACAGTTAACCCATAGTGACTACAGTTACAATGTATCTTTCTCAGCAAGCATAGTTATACAGTTAACCCATAGTTGCCCATTTTTACACAGAGAGATGGTTTCTTCCCTCAGTACCATGATGGCCATAGTTTCTAAGCCTTGCAGTGAACAGGTAAAAAATGTATGTGGATGTACACACACACACACGTCCATATGATTGAGATAAACCATTTGGAGTTCACACTGTTGGTCCCAGTAAGGACTACACAATCACAATTAGGATTACAAAATTTTACCTAATCCCATCAAACCTACATTTCCTCCTAACCAGAAAATTTTATTTCTTATCATTAATATTATGACTGATTTGATTTATCCCACAATGAACATGTAGAAGTCTTAGAATAATAATAATAATAATAATACCATAGTACCATCCATAATTTCTTTTTTTTTTTTTTTTTTGGTACCGGGGATCAAACTCGGGTCCTTGTACTTGCACAGCAGGCAGCGAAACCACTGAGCTAAATCCCCAGCCCTTTTTTTTTTTTTTTTGGTACCAGGGATCAAACTTGGGCCCAGAATTTAGGATTTCTTGAGAAGGAAATGAGGCAGTTCTTTTTATTCTTGGGGTATATCCACCAAATAAAATATAGTCAGATTACCATATTTTAATTTCTATAGATGTGTTACATGGACTACTGCCATCATAGGTTCATTTGTCTCATTGCATTTTCATTTTTAAGGATTTCTTTTAACATTTTTAGTTGTGTGTTTTTTTGTGGGGTTTTTTTGCTTAAATTCTTTTATTGGTCCATTTTAGGTATACAGTACATTTACATTTATCATTGGGTGCTTGTACCTGTACATGATGTATCTTGGTTCTTGTTTTTTCCCCGTTACCTGTGCGCCCTTCACCCCTCCAACCTTCCCTATTTACATACTTTGTTTCCATTTTTTTTCTTTTCTCATAATTTTTCCTTTCCATTCTTTCCTTTCCCCATCTCCTCCCACCACCCCTACCCCTTTGGACCTTTTCCTGTTTCAAAGTATCAATTATTAGTTATTAATCCTTTTAATCCTTATTTACACTCTCAGTTTCTCACACTAGAGAAACTATTTGGTATTTACACAGGTGTGTCCTATTTATTTCACTTAAGAGAATGGCCTCAATATGCATCCATTTAGCTATAAATGACTCTAATTTCTCATTCTTTATGGCTGAGTAGTACTCCATTTTATTAAAAAACCACATCTTCTTTATCCAGTTTCCAGTTGATGGGAACTTGGGCTATTTCCAAGCTTTAGCTATTACAAACTGTACCGCTATAAACATGGGTGTACATATATCTCTGTGGTATGATTCTTTTAATTCTTTTGGGAAAATACCCAGCAGGGGAATAGCTGGGTCAAGTGGGACTTCCAGTCCTAGTTCTTTGAGGTATCTCCATACTGATTTCCACAGTGGTTGCACCAGTCTGCACTCCGACCAACAGTGAAGGGTTCCTTTCTCCCCATACCCCCACCAGCATTTGTTATTGATTGATTTCTTGATACCAGCCATTCTTTGTGGGGTAAGGTGGAATCTCAGTGTTGTTTTCATCTGCATCTCTCGAATGACCAGTGATGTTGAACATTTTTTCATATGTTTATTTGCTGCTTTTACTCCTTTGTCTGAGAAATGTCTGTTCATTTCAGATGCCTATTTTTGAATTGGGTCTTTGAATTTGGGGGTTTAGTTGTGTTTTATAAAGTCAAATATTTACACATGCTAAAGCCACGCAACAAAATATACAGTAAGTCTCTGGCTTATGAACATTTGAGTTGTGCACTTTGACAGATATGAACAGATCTCGAATTTGGTGTTTTTATGATTTACATTGTATATTTGTGCCAAAGGTGTGTAAGACTCACTTTGTCAAACTCACGAACAAATCCTACTTACAAATGTTCTTCTGGAACGGAATTCACTCATAAGTCAGGTACTGACTGTGTTCAAAGTCAACTTTGCATGTAGCATCCCTGTCCCCTCCCCCTCATTTCCCTCCCATGGACCTTTTAAAATATTGTTTACACTTTATCCTTTTATTGTCTTTTTTAAAATACAGTATATACTTATATATATTTGCATTCTTTCTCCCTTTCTTAAATAAATGATAGCATGTTAAACTTTTTCATATTGCATTTTTTTGGTTAATAACCTGACCTCACAACATAGGTGTATAAGATATATTTCAGATAGACTCCAAGATCTAAGATTACTGAGTCCAAGACTAAATGTACACTTATTTTGATGTATATTCTCTTACTATGGTGGACTTTATCCTTGCCTGCAGACACACTTTAATGTGAAGAATAGAATTAAATGAGACTTAATATTTGTACTGAGAAAAGATAGAAATGATTGACCCAAAGAACTGGAGCTGGGAATCCAGTCCCCCCACATACTAACTAGTGGCCCAGTGGTGCAGCTGATCTACTCTACTGTACCTGCTCCCAACTTTACAGATGAAGAAACTGAGACTCACATTGGCAAGAGCCCTACCTTCAAAGACATAATAAATGAGGACTGAAAATTGCAAAGTTAGATCTCCTTCCGATGTGTTATGGATTTATTTATGATGAACTCAGTTTGCTTATCTATAGACGGGGAAGAAAAACATAGTAGTTCTCTTAAGGCAGGTAAGAAATTAATGAGATAATTATGGGTAAATTCTCCCGTGGGGGTAGGAGAGTCTGAGCTGTAGCTGAACTCCTTCAGGAAGAGAATCAGCAGTCAGACTCTGGTGTTGGGCACTGAGAAGTGACTGGAAGGATGACAGGGACAGTCGCTCCTCCCCGAAGACCAGTGTGGTTAAGCACCTTGCAGACGCTGTCGCTGTCTCTCAGGGCTCTGAGCTTCAGACAGAGAGGTCTCACGCCCTGCAAAACCTTACACATGGATGTGGACAAAGATATCCTTTCCCCAGTGAAGGAGCACGCTGCCAACCACGGGCTGTTCCCCTTCCCAGAGTAACCCCGGGGCTGTCCTTTGTGCTTGCTTTGAGACAGGTTGAATGACTTATGTGGAGCTTGGGCCCCCGGAGTTCCTCTGCCCTCTACACACTGCAGTGGAGCCGCCCCTGGTGCTGCAAGGAGGAGGAGGACGAGGCCGAATGAGGAGGTGAGCTCGGGCATGGACCTTTCGCCTCCTGGCCCTGGCTTCTCCCCGGGGTTGGAGCCTCAGAGTTGCCCCAGAGCCACCTCCCAGGGCCCTCCCTGCATGGAGGCTGGCAGGTGGCCGAGGGCGCTGGCTTCCTCTCCCCTGCAGGTGCAGTGAGCGGTTCAGCCTCGCCACTGTCCCCACTGTCCGCTCAACTGGAGAATGGGGAACCAGCTTTGCTTGTGGCCTGAGTTCCCCGTTAGCCTGGGGCCCCCCAACCTGGGAGGCCCCTTAGTGACAGCCCGGGCATTGACAGGCAGCGGGGAACCCCTCCTCTGGGGGCCCGGGGCCCTGCAGATGGGCAGCCCAGCGGATGCAGGAAGCACGGGAGCCACACCCTGTGATCGGGGTCTGCGTGGTTCTTTCAGGCTAGAGTTTCCCGCTGCTCTGTCCGCCCCTCCTTTCCTCTGGCAGAGTGGCAGAGCTTCGATTTTTATCGGAGGAGTAATCGGCTGCCCAGAGGCTGCGGAGTGGGGCGTCTGACCCCACGGCCTGGGCTCCTGTTCTCTGGGCTTGGCCATCTCTGCCTCAGTGCAGCATCTCCCTGGCTGTAGGTTCCTCCCTAGGTGTCTTGTGAACCGTCCCCCCCCCCAGAAGGAGTTGGGGAGAGACAAGGAGAGGGTAGAAAAGAGGAGACAGCTGATGGCATGGGTTTGGGATCCGGACAGACCTGATGCTAGTCCAGCCCCATTAGCTGTGTGATCTCTGAAAAGGTTTTTAGCTACGCTGAGCCTTGGTTTCCCAGTTTGCACACTGGAGATAGTAATAAACACCTTACTGTGGAGATGAAAGAGGAAGCACATGCACAGGGCCTGGCATATAGCAAGTGTGCAATAGACAGGAGGGATGTTGCTCGTATCAGTGGCAGCAGGAATACACCTGTATCCAGGTCATCTGTGTGGGGCCACAGGGCGTGTCAGGTTTCAGGGGCCACTGGGGGATGCATCAGACTGCAGGGCTTCCTCGTCCTCACAGCACTTGAGGGTGCCCCATGGTTTTGTTTCTTTACTGTACGTGGAGGACTCTGATCATGAAACTGCTGTGGCCGTTTATTTAAATAGATGATGTGTAGTATGTGTAACTGCATTCGAACAGATGCCAGGTTTGCAGCAGAATCAGGGAGCTACTCCCCCTCAGCGACACTGTGCCTCCTCCCACCGCTTTTCATGCACCCTCCCCACCCTCCCACCCCCCAAAACCTCCTCCAGGCCTCAGGGGTGCACACACCCTGGCTTGCGCGTCCAGACCCTTTGGAACCTGGAGCCTCCCATTTCTGATGACGGCGACCTCTGTGCAGCAGCAGATCTGGAAGTCCCCAGGGGAGCTGCAAGCTGCAGCCTGGCTGACCAGAGCACCCCAGTCTAGGCTGCCTCCATACACTTCCGGGCTGACCGGCAATCCCAGTTGGCTAGGAGCATCGTCCTTTTCATGATGTGTCTTTGCATCGGTTGTGTCATTTGACTCCCTACAACCATGTGAGATGAGCAGAATCTGTGTCGTCATTTCCATGTGATGGATGAGTAAACTGAGGCTCCAAGAGGTTATTTCCAGCCCTGTGTGGTGGCGCACCCCTGTGATCCCAGGTACTTGGGAGAGAGACTTAGAGCAGTGTCCGGCATCAAGGGCTTTTTTCCTTGCCATGCCCTTACACATTGCCTACCGTTTGGGGCAGCCACACATTGCAAGGGGGTACCCGTCGGAGACTTTCAGACACACAGAGGAGCTTAAGAAAAGGACAGAGTAAAGAGAACACATGCATGCAGGGATATCGGCTCTTGTGGGACCATAATCCCAGAGAAGGGAGCTGAGCTGGGTCGCTTTAGCTGGCGACAGTAGCCCCGATGATTACGATCAACATTTGGGCCCACCTGTGGCTGTGCTCTTGTGCAGCCCCCTGCATTCCTCCTTGTAGCAGCCCCACGAGCGGGACCTGAGTCACTCCCACTTCACTGATGACAGAACAGGTATGCACGAAGGGTAATGTGCTTGCCTAGGGTCCCCCATCCACCCACCCCTTCCAAGAAAGTGCCGGCGCCTGGATTTGAATCCCAGTGCTCCAGCCTGGGACCTGCACAGTTGACCTTTGGGTTTGGGGCTGTTTCAGTGGTGATGGAGTGGGGTGGGAGGGGTTTGCTCCAAGTGTCACCAGAACACTGCAGAATGTCTCTGAGCAAGGGTCTGAGCAAGTGCCCGCCAGGTTCCAGGTTTGAATCCCATCTTGTAGCCTCCGAAGGAGCCCTCCTGGCTCTGGCTGGTCTCCCTTTGTTCCCAGGCCACTGCCATCTGCAGAAGCCCCGGGTATCTGCTCCCAAACCTCCTTGCCCTTCTCTGTCTCCTCCCACCCCAGCATGAGGCAGCTTCTCCACCCCCCCACCCCACCCGGGCTGCTTCAGCTCATTGTCCGCTCAGGTCACTGGGAGCAGACACCTGCCCTCTGACGCATGGCAGGGAGACTGCCCGGCTCCCCCGGCCTTCAATTTCCCAAATGGATCCATTTGGTTAATTGCACTCCCATTTCTAAGCCCCTGCCTGTCAGTGAGAAAGCTGGGCCACTGCTTTCCAGAAGCATCACCACAGCTGCCGTGGACACACAGCTGTGGACTGATGGGGCGGGCCAGGTGGTTCACTGGGGACTGTCTTGCTTCCCACCCCCTGCCCCAAAACCGATTCCAGGCCACTGAGGCAGCGCCTATGCTTAGCCACCTTTTCCCATGGGTCTGAGACCAGCTGGGCAGCTGTGGGGCCGTGGGTGGCAGCAGAGAAAGCTTTCCCTCAGGAGCTCGTGTCTGCTGCCTTCGTGCTGAAGCGACACCATCGCTTCTCATCTCTCTGGCCTTTTCTGCTGACCCCACGCCCACCTTTCTCCTGGAGGCTGGGTTGCTATGCTGGACACAGCATGCCACCTTCTGATTTCTTGTTTCTAGTAAGGGGACCAAAGATTATAGCAAAGGAAGTCTCCAGTGTTCCCGAACAGCCCTGCAGCCAATGCTGTGTTTGGCATCTGCACACGTAGCTGCCAGCAGTTTGCAGCCAGGTCCTGGACCATCTTGAAACTCAGGGAAAACCTGCCCCGTCTGCCCCACATGCATTGTCACCCCCTCCCCAGCCTCCTGTGTCTCCTCAGTCCTGCAGCCTGTGGAAGCTTTCAGGATAGCAGTTGGGTGCAGACTGCTGTCTGTATGGGATGTAAATGCAGAAGGCAGGGGAGGGAGGGAAGGAGCAGATGCCGCGCCCTCCTGCTGGCTCCATCCTTTCCTCCCCTGCTCTGCTTGTCACCTCTAACAGGAATTTAAAACATGCAACTGGGATGCACTGTCCTTGGAATACCACCAGCTAATTGACAGGGGGAAGTCACTTCAGAAGAACTGACCCAGCTCCCTCTTGACTGCGAAGTCTGGGTCCCATAGGGAGGAGCTGGCACAGTAAGGACCGTGAGGTGCTTTGAATAAAGGAGGCTGGGGCAGAGCAGGAGGGAGGAGTCCAGAGAGCTCCGGCTGGTCTGGGACCCTGCAGGAGCCTCCCTTTCTCCCTGGCCCAAAGCAGACACCGCCTGTGCCTGTCACCTTTCTGCGGCTGTAAGAGTGAACAGTAGTTCCGGGGGGGCCATCAGACCAGTGTGGTTTGCTGCACCGCCACTGCTTCCTAAGCCCAGCCCGCGCCCTCTGGAAGCTGACGGCTGTGGGCTGGAAGGCCGCCTCTTTTCTCCACCCCAGGTGTCTCCTGCAGTCTTGCGTGTCCCTGTCTCCTCTCTTCCTCCCTCCCACCTGCTCCACTAGAGCTCAGCCTGTGGTTTTTAGTTGGCTTTAGAACAGTGGTGTTGAAACCGAGCTTGGAATCCCCTAGTCAGGGCAGGAATAAGCAGCTTCACAGGAGGGGTGGTGGTCCGCAGACTCCAAGTGGACGTGCACCCAAGGAGCTGGGGACCCAAGCTGATATTTGCAGTAAGGGTGGCTGGGATGTGCAAAGCAGCCTTCCTTTTGGAGAGCTGGAGAGGAAAGGAGCTGGGGGCGGAGGAGTTGAGGTTCATTAGAGGGTGGTTCTAGGGCCGGGGACTTAGCTCAGTGGTTTCCGGCGCCTGCCTCGCAAGCGCAAGGTCCTGAGTTCGATCCCTGGTATGAAAAAAAAAAAAAAGAAGGTGGTTCTAGAGCCACCTGCCTGCTGTAGGGTGTTTTATAAACTTACTGCACAGTGACTTACTTAGGGTGACACACAAGAACTGAGCCCTAGGTGTTATTTTATTTTTAACTAACCAGTATTCATGTGTTGCAATTATAAATCTCCAAGCCTAATGCTTCCTTAAACTTTTATTTCAATTTATAATTTTCTTCTTAAATCTTACAGATTCTAACAGTCACTTGTTTGATCCCATTAGTAAGCTCAACTTTATTCCTTTGAATAGGTGAAATTTTATTTGTAATTTTTTTTTGGAGACAAGGTCTCATCATCTTGCCCAGGCTTGCCCCAAACTGCTGGGCCCAAGTGATTCTCCGGCCTTGGGCTTCAGAGAGTCTACGGGCTCCTGCCACTGCTCCCAGGCTGCCTGCTTTTCTTTCTTTCTCTTTCTTTCTTTCTTTCTTTCTTCCTTCCTTCCTTCCTTCCTTTCTTCCTTTCTTTCTCGCTCTCTCTTTCCTTCCTTTCTTTCTCTCTCTTTCCTTCCTTCCTTTCTTTCTCTCTTTCTTTCTCTCTTTCTCTTCTTTCTTTCTCTCTCTCTTTCTCTTTTTCTCTTTCTCTCTCTCTTCTTTCTTTCTTTTCCTTCCTTCCTTCCTTCCTTTCCTGTACTGAGGATTGAACCTAGAGTGTTGTTCACTGAGCTACATCCCCAGTCCTTTTTTTTTTCTTTTTTTTTTTTTTTTGAGGCAGCCTCTCATTAAGTTACTAAATTGCCCAGACTGGGAATTTGTGATTCTCCTGCCTCTGCCTCACACAGAGTTCTGGGATCACAGTTCTGAGCTACTACACCT